GCTGATGGCCTGTGCACTCGCCCAGGCGGAGTTCCTTGGTGCTCTCCACCGTCCAGTCCACCAACACCACGCACAGCTGGATCTTGTCCGGATGCATCAATGGAGAGCTGGCAATCGAATAGCTGCGGGGTTTCAGGACTGGCATCATCTGAAGCAAGTGCTCGATGGGAGGTCGTGCACTTGCAAACTTCTTCAGCACATCTGCGTGGTGCGCGAAGTCGTGCGTCAAGTCCCAGTAGAGGGCCGCACCCTCCTGGCTGTTCTCGACGATGCTTTGGAGCTGCTTCTTTTCTGCCTCGTCCTTTGCGAAGAGAGCCAATGTCTGGAAGAACTTCCTGTTCGGCTTTCCGAAGATGTCCAGGACGTGTGAGAAAAGCTGGCGCACGCTCAGCTCCGTAGGACACCAGTTGCGCGCACCCTCGAGGGGCAGGATCCTCAGGTGCTGTGCGGCATCGAAGCCCATCATCTGACAGAATTCCAGGACCTTGTCTTCCGGGTTGCGGGGCCAGATGGCAAGGCTCTCGCCTGTCTTGTAAGCAACGTTGGTGCCTTCAATCTTGAACTCATAATGCCGAATGTCACGATCGTACTTAGCATCACCTGTCAGCACGTTGTTGGTGAGCAGCGTGAGTCTGTTGGCACCGGGCGGGATGATGTCATCGTCGCTGATGGGTGGCTTCGCCAAGTCGCCTGCGGATGCATCCACACGATAGGAAGGTGCAGGGATATCCTGGCTCAGCGGCAAAGCCGGGGCCCCGAGAACCTTCCACAGCTCTGGGAGCCAGGCTTCCCAGCCAGTGTAGTACCTGTCCTCATCACGGTCATCCCCCACGCCGCGCTTCAGCATGCGCTGCCCGCCGAGCTCGCCCAAGCGGGTGTCGAAGCCGGCAGCAGCCACACAGAACTGGCTGTAGGTGGAGTCGCCCAGGCCGAAGACGCAGAACTTCACACCTGCCAGCCAGGACATTGGCAGATCCGCAGATTGGAGCTTCAACCAAGTCTGCTTGCAGTTGGCCGGATATTCGCCAAGTCCACACGTGGACACCACCAAGATGACAATCTTCTGGTTCGGTAGCTCATCGAACTCGAAGTCATCCAACGAGCTCACAGTGGATTTCAGTCCACGTGCAATGAGGTCTTGCATAAGGTTTTTCGCCTGCTCCTCCGCATTGCCGGTCTCACTGCCGTATAGCACCGTGATGGAGTCGCCCGAGCTCTTCGCATCCGAAAGACCTTCGACCAACTTGGAGAACTGTCCTTCCAGGTCCTCTTTGTTCAGGACCTGCAGCAGGTGATTCTTCTGCACCACATTTTCTTGCAGCTTGTTGTCCAACTCCTCGGCGTGCTTTGGGTCACGACGCATCACGGCTGCGAAGCGGTTCTCCTGAGAGCTGCACTTCTCATCGC